ATGTATGGATCACTTGGGTTGTTACCAACATCTGGTGAAAATTTCATGTTATTAGCACCTCTAGTAATATATTTACTGAGAAATGTTGACGTGTTCAATACTTATTTTACCCGCTGTAATCGACGTCATCGATTATTTCAACTAATCGGTGCAGTCCTACTTGTGACGTCCACAGCCTACCCCAGTTACCACTACTGTGCATGTGTGTCATGGACAGAAAGGCAGATGTGGCAGTGGAAGGTGTCAAAGCAGTTTGGTGAGAAAAACAAAGTAAAGAACAAAAAAAAGGAAAACGATTAATCGATTATTAAATTAGTCATCGATTATTTTAATAACCGATTAGTTGATGATTAATCGTAGCAGCACTACATTCATTACAACTGCATGGCATCATAGTAGAAGAGTTCTGGGGCTGAACTGGTCATAAGTCCAGACTTCTCGCCAACTGAAAACAAATGGTTTTACTCTACCTTTTTTCCCCCACAGTCAGCTAATGTAGTGTTTAAACAGTTATGGTAAGTATGTCCTATTGTGAATAAAATGTGGATTTATGAGATTTGCAAATCACTGTGTTCTGTTTGTTACATTTTACACAAAGTCTCTGCTGCTTCTTGGATTTGGGTTTGTAATTATCTATATTCTAATTTCTACTACTCCTACTATTCTAAACCTCATTCTCTGCTGTAGGAAGTTTATTGTCACAAAGGGGAACGTAGCGCTGATGTACCACGCTCCAGGGAAGCAGCGGGAGTTTAACGCCTTCGTTTTGGACAAGAGCTACTACGGTCCGTACGATGAGACGACCTGCATCGACTGGACAGACGATTCCAAGTGAGTACGGCTGTGTTAGAAGGTTTTTAAAAAAACGCACATAACTGAATGAAACAGAAGTGATTTTGTCTTGTGTTTTAGGTGTTTTGTAGTGGGCAGTAAAGACATGTCGACATGGGTGTTCGGTGCAGAACGCTGGGCCAACCTGATCTGTTACTCTTTGGGTGGACACAAGGACCTCATCGTGGGCTGTTTCTTTGAGCAGGACAGTTTAGATGTGTGTGGCGTTTGCATTTTTCTCTTGGATGATTGAAGCTGTGGATGTAACACTTTGCTAACCCGTCCCTCGTTTGGGTTCATTCAGCTGTACACGGTGAGCCAGGATGGGACGTTGTGCATCTGGGAGAGCAACACTGAGCTGGATGGTCTCGTGCTGCAAAAACACAAGGACAAACCCAAGCCTCGACGACAAGATGAGGAGGAGGAAGAGGAGGAGGACATGGGGGAGAAAGAGGAAGGGGAGGTGATCAGAGGGACAGCTGAAACTCCAAAAAGCAAAGATGAAACCAAGCATGTTCGATACAAGCAAAGGAGCAAGTGAGACACCTCTTGATGATGATGATGATGTCTAAAAATTAAAACATTAAACCTTTTAAAACTGAAAATAGGTCTCTTTGAAGGGATGAATATTGTTTGTCGTCTTAAAGGGATCCGCGATTAGTTGAAACATTAAACTTTATTTGATAAACATTTATTTTAACTGTAAAACAAAGACTGTAAAAATACTGT